TGGGATGGAGCCCATCCCGAAAATGACGTCATCTCAGGGGCTACCACTACTAAGCCGATTTCAAACAAAACAAGGGGAAAATGGGGTGCAAGTCGGATTAGTCAAGTTGGTTGAAGTGCAATTATCAGAATGGGAAATCTCATTCAAATAGTGGATGCTCTGGGAAAAACTGAGACTTTTCTTGAAAAATCCCAAAATGATAAAGATGATAAAGGAACATAAAGGAACATTATGTGAAAATCCCCAATTTACAATTGGCGAATCGGGATCTCCACATGGAATATGATCATCTTCAATCGATCAAGGGTATCATAACCTTCTTTCTAATCGTCAACCAACGCCATGGTTTTTGAAACTGTTCACCTGCCACGTTTGATTACCAAAGGACAATCATGTTCCCTACAAAAATGACCATTTTTGGTATACAGTTTCAGACATAGCGAAATGGATGAAGTGTTGTTGGTACAGGAAAGCGCGAAACTCATGCCTAAGTCACGCCTGTGTGCTGAAAATATGTTTTCCCCCGTCCAAATGCAGTTTCCAGGAAGTCATGCCTATGTCATGCCTGCAACCCAAATCACCATCTAAATGCAGCGGAAATCTTTGCTTCATTTTGATTAACTGATACCAGTAGTACCGCACAAGGCGGTGGCGGAAGTTTCAAAAATAGTAAACCTGTAGGAAGTGTTGGGTTTTTGAGTTGCATGGGCGGCAGAGCAAGCCGCTGATGGATCGTTTTTGATAATGGTTTGTTGTAAAATGAATAGTGAATCTGAAAGTGAAGTGTGAGATAAGGGATATGATATATACTAGAAAAAAAAAAACGACGTCAGAACGACGTCCGAACGATGTCCAAGCGACGTCAGTTCATTCCCTAGGACAGGCCACTCCCCACATGATGGCTCAACAACAAAAAGGCACGAGTCTTGAAAATCAAGTGCTCCCAAGCTATTTTCAACGATTCCCACTCATCTGGGCACGACTTTAGCAACTCTCTGTACCGGTTGACCTTTTAAGACGCGGTCGAGTAGTTGTTGTTGTTGTTGTTGTTGGTGGTGGTGGTGGTGGTGGTGGTGGTGGTGGTTCAGTGTCAATAGAAACTATTGGAATCCCCAATGGAGTATGATAATCCCAAATATTGGATGGTAGAAACATGTTTGTATGTATATACATATATGTATATATGTATATACATGTGTATATATATGTGTATATATATACATATATACATATATACATATATACATATATACATATATACATATATACATATATACATATATACATATATACATATATATATATATATATACATACATATATACACATATATATATACATATATATATATATACATATATATATATGGGGTTTCCATAAATGGGGGTACCACCAAATCATCCATGTCAATAGGATCTTCCCTTATAAACCATCCATTTTGGGGCACCCCCATTTGTGGAAAGCCCCATATAAACCATTGTAATCAATGTAATCATCAAACAACGGAAGCAACGGGGGGTGAAGCACAGCATCATCACATCTCTTGGGGTGAAAGTCCTTGAGTAGCATGAGAATGTTCCACACCAATTCGGCATTGACTGTAACTGTAATGTGGTTAATACAACAATAAACCATCCATCAAATCACCATTTTCATAGGCGCTATGTTTACCATTGCTTTATAACATTGTGTTAACCACATTAATGCAAACATCAGCAATTTTTCAGGGATCAATGCTGATATACGATATATGGTGATATAACAAACATCATGGTTCGTCAGTTCCCCATCTGAATTTTCCCATGCACAACGGCTCCAAGCTTACGTGGCTTCCCCATCATCCATCCCAAGTCTTGTGGCTACAAATATAGCTGCAGGATGGTTCTGGATGGTTATGGATGGTTTTTATCCGTTTAGTCATCTATGTTGGCATTTCACTGGTTGCGAAAAATATTAAGGATTTTGTTGAATTTTTGTCCAAATTGTGGAATTCATGACAATGCTAAAGCACCGCAACCGGAAAGTGCAGATGCAGTTTGTTTCCCACTCACTTCCAAGCATAGCGGTGTCCAAACGCAATGAACTTGTCGATGGCAGTTGGGCACCTCAGCTGGTTCAATTCATTTCACAATACTTCAGCTGTGCTGTGATCACTCTGCTTTGGATGTGATCTTTCTCCTTTGCTTCACTTTCCCAGGTGGTAAATAAGCTCTCCGGTTGCCAGGACCTTTCGTGGCTCGCCAGAAAGCAAGAATCCCATCCAGCAAAGAAAACTGCAAAGCTGTCTTCTTGGACTGGGCGCGGTCTAGCAGGAACTTTGCGAACCTGATTCCATTTTGCGTGTATTGCGTCCACAACTTTGACATTGACCACTTGGCAAAAAAGAGAATAAAAGCATGCCAATCAATTTCTTTCAGGAAACGGCGGATTGCGAAGATACACCGCAACCAACAACACACCCAGCTGCTCAGTCCTTTCCAGCTGTAGAAATGAAGCAGTTACCTGCAACTTGAACAGGTGCGTCGTAAGCTTGTCATGTCCCGACAGCAAAGCCGATTCATGCGATCATCGGCACCAGCGATATCAAATTCCAGATATGAAATTCCATAACTACTCTACTTCAATTGGCATGGCTGCTCTGGCTGCAGAGGGCAGCTTGGCCAGACCCTTGGCCGCGCCGATTTGACCCTTCAACGCACCATTTTGAAAAAAATGCGCGTTGAAGGGTCAATTTGGCGCGTTGAAGGGTCAAATGCACATATGTGTGTATATATATGTGTGTAATATACACATATGTATGTGAATACATATATATATAAATATATATATATAATATAATTGTATATATTATATATACGCACTTACAAAAAAAAAAACTATATATATATATACGTAAACAATATATATATATGAAAATATATAAATATAAATATATATATATATACACATGTTCATATACATTTCTATTCAGGTTATTATCTTATCTTATATAATATTTATTAGTAAATAAAGTTATATATATATGTATATTCTATTTTTTAGGGGCAGGACCCAAAACAATTCTGCGAAACTTCCTCAATTTTTGAACTTGACAGCATCAAAAACAAAACAATTTTGCGAAACCTAAATTTTTGAACTTGACAAACAATTCTGCGAGACTTTCTCAATTTTTGCACTTGACAACATCAAAAACGAAACAATTCTGCGAGACTTCCTCAATTTTGTGAAGTTGGCAACATCAAAAACAAAACAATTCTGCGAGACTTCCTTCAAAAATGGAAAGTCAGCAGAGCTGACGGCCTCATACCAATGCGTTTTTCGGTTTTTCCACTCCACAAAATCATCTGAGCAAACCTGAAGATCTGATGCTCCAAAATGCAACCCCTCTCAGGAAATCAGCGCCCTGACCTCCGAACAGCTCTGATGAACATGTCGCTTGTATTGTGCCTGCCACAAGAAAGACATCTTGCGAGATCCTCTGCATATGTCCCACGCCTGCCATCGTTTTAGGAAATGCTACAAAACCCTCACATTTTGCTCACTTTTGACCAGGTGCATAATCCCTGAGGCCTGCCACGCAAAACGACATATGAACGTCCAAAAGTGCTCCGAATCCGTCAGTTTTTTGACACTTTTGACTTCGAAATGTGCTTCGTGCCACAACGGCATGCACTTTTTCGACATCTCAACTTCCAAACTTGCTCCGACACTGAGGTGTTTTGTGCATTTTGCACATTTTGTACTTCCAAAAATGATTTCCTACAACATTACCCTAGAAAAAAGCAGGGGAAATTGGAATGGGGAGAGAGAGAGAGAGAGATATATATATATACATATATAATATTATATATATATATTCTTTTTATTTATTCATTTATATTCTATCTTTGTAAATAATATATATTTATATATAATATGCACCGCCTATAATATAAATAGTAATTATATTAATATATATACATATATATATATATAATCATTGTCATATTAAGATAGCAGGTGAATATGGGAAAAAATGCTGCAGAGTGGTCGACCCTGCAATGAGAGCTGATCCTGCCAGACATGGCATGCCACAAATTTCAACCATCACATGAATCAATAGCCGCAGGACCCTTCTGAATTATGGAGTGCTGAATCATGCTGGATCAATACAACAGGACCAAGTAGCAACTAAGAAAATCAAAACGATACGATCACCAACCAAGCTCTGGTGATCGCATCCCCAGACCATGCATTAGTCAAGCATCCTCTGGCTTTGGACACTGGGTGCAGGAAGCAACCTTCACAGGCTCTCCGGAATGTGTATGCCTTTAGAATTCCCTGCAATCGCAAGAAGGGGTTCGGCAAGTTCAGGATCTTCAAGACCAAATTTGAAGGCTCCTGCACAAATCTTGGGCAGCTTGGGCAGCTTTGGCAATGGTGGAATTTGGCACCACAAACTTCACATGACCATTTCGCCATGAGCTTTCCAAATGCCATTGATTGAATAATGACCACGACGAGGCCAGCGGAGGAATGTTGCACTTGGCACGGTACAGCAGGTAGGCTGCTAGCAATGCCTGAACTTCAAGCAAGCACTCTTTAATCTAAAAAATGCTTACTTGAAAATCAGAATGAGCAAAATGAGAATATCACAGTCACAACTGGAATGCCGGCTGCGAATATCACCAGAAAAGGATAAGCGAAAAAAGGCGACCGCAATGGCAGCAACAACGACAACAACCTCCACCACTGCCTCAATAACACAACAAACACTGCAACAGCACAAGTAACAACAACCTATCCCAATCTCATTGCCAACCAAATACGTTAGGGGTCGTTGGGCTGGCACCCCTCTTAGCAGGAATTCAAGCAAGGGGATCAACTCCTTCTCGCCTCCCCAGAAGCAATTTTTGGCAGCCTTGGCAAAACAATGTCACATGCATTGTTTCACCACATGTAGTTGTGAGTGGTATAGCTCTGTTTAAAACAAAGGAATTGCATAAGCAATCCTGGCTGTTCTATTCGTCTCGTTTGGAGCGCGCCCAGCTTCCACACTTCGCAGCCACAGGCTGGCAGCTTTGCTTGCAGAAATCGGCACCGGCGGCATTCTTGAGCACCTGTGCATTGGAACAGTGGTGGGCTGGCAAAAGCTTAAAATCAACACACTTAATGGCTGGCAACTTAAACTTAAACATTTGACCCTTGGGCGGAAAATTTGACCCTTCGTTGTTGCTCTGACCCTTGGTTGACCCTTGGAGGACAACCTCGCTCGGTCTCGCGACCCGGAGGCGTATTGCATAGGGCTATTGGGAGTGTATTGGCAAGGGAATTGCACGTCTCAATACGCCTCCTGGTCTTGAGACCGGGAAGATGAATTCATAGGTGGAATGCTCTTGTCAAACTGCGTTCCTTGAGTTTCGGTATTTGGATGGGAAAATCACGTCTCAATACGGGGGGTCAGTCTTGAGACCGACAAGCGTATTGCAAAGGGATGGAAGTCAAGGTTTTTTTTGAAATCCGCAAGTTTCGTTTGCTTGTGCTTGCACAATCAGCCCACTCACGGTCTAGTGAATTTGCCAGACCCCCCCCGAGACTGACGAAACACCCTGATGATGAATTTCAAAAAGCATTGCATGTCTGCCATTGAACCAATCCTCTTCACAGTGGTTCTTTTCTTGGCAGTGCTTGCAGTGGCTGCTTTGGGCTCCCCTATTAACAAGGACCAGCGCTTCACCACCTGATGCGATCACCAAACCAAGCTGGAAGAGCGCATTGAATTTCAACATCCACTGCGAAGAAACCAATGTCAAGCCATCCCAAAGCAATCCAAAGTCGTCCTCAGTCTGGCCGGTCCAGAGGATGCTGCAGGGGCCGCGGGTGCCTCGTCTGTAGACCCATCGCTGATCGTCGAAATCCCCTTTCAATCACTCAGCCTTGCAGGGATTCTGTTATTAAGATTGCTGCAGAGAAATTTAAAAACCTGATGCTGCAACATCTCCCCTGATTCCAGTCCCTAACATGCCCTTGTAATCAAACCACTGCAATCGTTGACAACTAGTACGATTACCCAATTAATTCATTATAGAACTATTATACACAAACTAGCCGGTTCACTATATAAAGTATGAAGGTTGATACTCTAAAATAGCAAGCCAAATGAACAGGCAATATTGCTGTTGCTGTTGCCATTGCTGTTGCCATTGCTGCTGCCATTGCTGTGGCTGTTGCTGTTGTTGTTGTTGCTGCCAGTGCTGCTGTGGTGGTGGCGGCGGTGGTGGCGGTGGGGTGCTGCTGCTGCTGCTGCTGCTGCTGCTGCTGGTTGTGGCTGTGGCTGTTGCTGTAGTTGTGGTTATGGTTGTGGTTGTGGTGGTTCTTGATCTGGTCCTTGTTGCTGTTTTTGTTATTGTTATTCCTGTTGTTGTTGTTGATGTTGTTCTTCTTCTTCCTCCTGTCCTTCTGAGAAAATCCCGAATCGTGTTTTTGATATTGTTCTTGTTTGTGTTGTTCTTGTTCCTGTTTTTATTATCATTGTTAGTGTTATAACATGTTATAACTCTTGTGTCTTGTCCTTGTCCTTGCCCTTTTCCGTTTAATTATTACATTTTATTACTGCTGAGGCTGAAGCTGCTATTACTAAATATTTCTACCCATGCCCAGCCTGTAGTACCCAGCAGGGGCTGTCGAACTTCTTCTGCTGCACGTCAGCTGGCCGGAAGCTGATGATATAAAAAAATCCTTCAGCAGACACCCAAATGGACTGGGTAGTTGGCCCTGACATCTCGCCAAAGTCAAAAAATTGCGCATTGCCAGGCTGGAGATTGTGGAGCAAGGCATAGTCTTCATTGTTGAGGTACTGCTTGGACTTAAGGGCATACCTCACACCTCCGCGCTCTTGCTCTTCAATCTTGTGGCCAAAATGAACGCCAAAGAAGGAAGCATTGACTGTGTCCTTGTTGCACTCCTCCAAAGACTTGACGCGCAGGTTCCCTGCCATAGCGTCCAAATTGCGTAGCTCGGTGCCGCTGGTGCGCAGGTGGGCAAGGTCCAGGAGCTTGTTCGCCATGCTGAGAACGTCATTGGCATAGAGCAGAAGGGTCATCAAAGTGCCCCCGTTGCCAATGTTTAGCTCGGGAAGGAAATCCCACCAAACAACTACTGATGCAGAAAATAAGCATATCTTAGTAACAAAATGCCAAGTAATCTGCAACAAACATGTAATTCATTGATCAGTTCAATGATGTTTTGAGTGCTTTGCTTTCAATGCTCCCCATCCTCATCTGGCTCGAGAAGCTGGTATCCCCTGGCAGCACCGTTCATAGAGAAGGGTAAGATGAAGATGTTGCACAGAAGCGCTCCACCACCGCAGGGACTGGCCTCTGAGAACCGCTGGAGGAGCTCACGCACAATGGCAGACAACTCAGCAGGGAAGCAATGAAACACCGGAGGATTAAAATTAACTCAAACAATTTCTAATATTCTTGGCGCCCCCATGACATGAAACGCGGATCCATGTCCAGAAAAATCTTCTTTGACCACATGATGCCGAGCCACAGAGAATTTCTTTGGAATGCTATTGTACGGAGGAATCAGCTGCAGCAAATCGCGGGCTTCCTCCACAATGTTGGCTTCGCTGGGCTGCAGGGTCAAACCTCAAGCATGCGCAAAAGCAAGCACAAAATGGATCCACGATGAGCATTCTGGGAAAAAGTCCAACAAATATGGAATTGACCTTATTGGTTCATATAGACATGGAAAGCTTTACTAATTCACATCAAAGTGCCGACGCATATGGACATATTCGTCTTGTCAGCAGCAGGGAAGAAACTCAACACCATGGCGTTAAATCCGAACATTGCACATGAGAAATCTTTGGACGTGTCGTAGACCTCAGTGAAAATGTATGAAAATGTCAGGGGCATGGGTGCGAGCCACAGCATGGTGCTTAATTTCTTCCTGGCCCAGCAGACCTTCCATTCGCAAGCCAAAGGTGCCGCCAACAGCTTGCTTCACGCTCTCTGCGATATCCATTCGCTGGCGCTGGGCAGCAGCAGTTTGGGCAGCTTGGGCAGCAGGGACAAGGCCAGTTTCAGATTGGAGCACCAATCTCCCTTGCACAACCAGCTCATCTGGCCCTGGCCCATCATCTCCATGCTCCGCCTCATTGTAGTCCTCAATCAATGGCACGCCATCAGGAGGACCAGCCTCAGCAGGTGCTTCGGCGGCAGCTTCTGCCGCAGCAGGGGCTGCTTCAGCAGGGTGGGCTGCTTCGGCAGCAGGAGCTCCGGCAGGATGCGCTGCTTCGGCAGCAGGTGCAGCTGCAAGACCACCACCGTCTGCAGCCTCCATGGCGGCCAATGCCTCTGCCAGGGCAGCAGCAGGAGCTGCCATCACCGGCACAAGAAGGTGAAGTGAACGCACAGGGGCGGCTTGGGCAAACAGTGGTGCTGGGGATGGAAGAATGAAGCAATCAATGCAGGGCTGCTGAAACTAGAATGCACTTCATTAATTAATAAAAAACATTATCCACAAACACTGCCGACCCCAGCACTGACAAGTCCAAGCCTTCTCCAAGTGCTGTTGTGGGAAAGGCAGGGGCAGCAGGAGCAGCAAGGTCAGGCCTGAGCAGGATGTAAATGTTATACTTAGACTAGAGGCTTATGAATGGAAATGGGATTGGGTATTTATAATAATGCATAATTTGACCCTTCAACGCGACGATATGACCCTTCAATGTCACATTTTAGTTTTTTTGCGCGTTGAAAGGTTCTGAGGGTGCGGCGAAGGGTCAGGATAATCAGGAAGATGAGGAATGCAGAGCCGCTTGGGCAGCGTGGCCAGGCAGGGATGCTGGAATGGAATGAACTACTACTAACTCAACCCTTTTGACTGGACAGTGGCTCACAGGTGTGAAGAAAACAGCAAAAAATAAAAAATGTCCGAATTGCCAAGGCAGTCATACATGTCTTTGCTATCCCCTGAAGTAGCCCCATTTACGAATGTGTAGCTTTGCATGTGCCAATTTTATCACTATGATATGCATTTTGCCCAAAAGAAATGTAGACTGGATGGCTTTGTCATGTTTCATCAAGTGGACCCAAAGAATCCTAGCAGTTTCATCATCATGTTTCCCATGAAAACTAGCATTTTATGTGTAACCCCATGTTCGGACACCCAAATCAACTATGTGGTTACACCCATTCTATTCCCATTCTATCACCATGAAATTGCTGGTGGATTCGCCATGTCTACTGAAATCCCCGGCATGACCAGGAGATCCGGTGGGGCTCCCGCGCCTTTTGACAAGTCTTGTTGAGGATGGCATCGCTGGTGAAGGTCAAGCTAAAGAAAATCACCTGGAAAGATGGCCATGTCGCTGCGGAGCTGGAAAGATCTAGCAACCCATCTAAGCATGTATATTGTGTATGTATGTACTATGAATATGTCATTATCTGTATGTATGTATGTATGTATGTATGCATCTATGTATGTATGTATGTATGCATGTATGCATGTATGTATGTATGTATGTATGTACTATGAATATGTCATTATCTATATGTATGTATGTATGTATGTATGTATGTATGTATGTATGTATGTATGTATGCATGTATGTATGTATGTACTATGAATATGTCATTATCTGTATGTATGTATGTATGTATGTATGTATGTATGCATCTATGTATGTATGTATGTATGTATGTATGCATGTATGCATGTATGCATGTATGCATGTATGCATGTATGCATGTATGCATGTATGTATGTATGTATGTACTATGAATATGTCATTATCTATATGTATGTATGTATGTATGTATGTATGCATGTATGTATGTATGTATGTATGTATGTACTATGAATATGTCATTATCTGTATGTATGTATGTATGTATGTATGCATGTATGCATGTATGTATGTATGTATGTATGTACTATGAATATGTCATTATCTATATGTATGTATGTATGTATGTATGCATTCAGACCATCAAGTTGAAGCAAGAGTTGATGCCACATAGGTGGCTTGTTTCGCTTCAGGAATAGCCAAACTGCTTTCTGACCAAAATTATGTAGGTTCTAAATCTTTCATGGTCCTTCACCCGTTAACGTGAAAGACTTGCAGCGGGGTTGACCTAGCTCCTTGCTTAAGCCAAAAGTTTGGCTAGAAACAAAGGTTTAGTCAGTAACAACAAGGTTCTGATTACTGAGCGCTTGGTTTCAAGTTCCATTGTGAAAAAAGACATGGACCCGGTGCAGCAGGGAAGACATTCAATACTTCACATACCACCATACCCGATACACACATCAGCAAATAAGCGAAGCCAAGAAGTGGTCAAAAGACCCAACTTTGGTCAGTAATACAGAGGTCCCAAATCCCGAGCAAACTGTCTCAAGCTTTTGTATCAAAAACATGGCTACCTGATGTGACTCACGCGCCCGAAAAAAATGATTTACTCACATGCACATGAATTGGTGGGGCATGTGCTAATTTTCTTTGAACAACTTTTGGCTCAATCCCGCACTAGGAGCTTTTATGTGAGCCGTATCAGCCTAATCTTGCACACACACACACCAAATTTCAACCCTTATAGGAAGTTTTTTTACAATGTTTAATGGTTTGCTGAAAAGCTCTGGGTAACCGAGTTCTCTTCAGAAGATCTCTCTTTAAGCTCTCCTCAGAATGCATTTGCCTGAGGTTTCTTGCCGCAACTCTTGCCGCGATATTTGAGCGAGATCTTGAATAATCTTCTACAGAGGTTTATCGAGGAGATTCGTTTTCAGATCGGCTTTGTTTCTCTGTTATCTTAGATAAGCAAGCCCTAACTCTGTTGAGGAGTGAAGTTTTATGGGGAAGGTCTGTCGCGTTGTCGCGCGATCTCTTGGGAAAGTCTTGGGAAAGTCATGCAGATGAAGTCTGTGTGTGCGAAATCTCAGATGTCTTTAAGATACAATGAAAATATAGTCAGTTGAAAGCTTGTCAGGACCTCGGCCCGGGAGAACGAGCAATCTGGCAAAATCAAGGTATAAGAGTTTTGAAAGGCTGACGGCAAACTCATGTTTAAGACTTTCGTCAATAAACTTTGTTTGAGGGATTGCATTCAAAACAGGCTGCTGGAGAGGCCTAATAAAGCTTCAAATTCAGCCATTTTGGTGTGCCTTGCAAGCGGCGGTCAAATTTCAAAACAAGCGGGGCGCTGAAGATTGAAAAACAGAAAGGCACACGTTATACGCCACGCTTCCTACACTGGAGGTATCATCATCGTTGGTTTGATGCTTCCAAAAATGGGATCTCTGTATGCACTAGCGCACCCTTACGTCAACTCCTTTGGGATTTTCTGCCAATGTATGAAGTACGATGCGCGTTAAAGATGCGTCGGCTAGCTACAACTCGATATTACACACGCTACTCCTACAGGGCAGGCGAGCACAAGAGATTTAGTATATCGTCTTTTGTCTGCACTAGGGGTTTGTTGGCTAGCCTTCAACCTCCATGGTATCTATCTATGGTTCCAAAAATGCTCCGGTAAGCCTCAAGATTGGGACTTCGCAAGGTTTCAGGTTCAAGAAATATACCATGGATATTGATTCAAAAGCCTAGGGGGGCGCACAAAAGTGCAGCAAAATCATTTTAAAACCTGAAGAAAAATTGTCGGTGTAGCAACCCCTGGATTTATTGCGAGCCGTCTAAGCTTTGGTTGTAAATTGGAAATCCAAGGGGATTTGATTGTAACATGGAGTGGCGACTGGTTTTACCATTGGGTTCCATCGGCTCTAGTAAACTTGTCCGTTTGGACAAAAGAGTTGTTTCCCATCAATGTTCTTACCGCTATGACCACCTTGGTGAACCGACTTCGCCACAAGTCCCAACCATGTTTGCTCAAATTGAATGGTTTCCAAAACTGATGGGATGAAAACGGAAACCTATAGAAGCAAACCTAGGAGCTTTTTCATGCTATATGTCTGCTGGATATTGTCCAAACCAGCAAGGAAATTCCATCAGATGGTTCAATCCATTCCCTGGGTTCCGAAAGGGCTTGGGTTATAAGATGCGTCGGTGCTACCAGCAAATCCAACGAATCCTAGCTGAAGGCCCAATAAAAATTACGCGTCTGCATACACGACAGGCTGGGGAAACAGGCTTCATTGGTCTAAATGATTGCTTCACCAGCAATCATCCAAACTTTGTTGGTTTCAAGGACACAAGAGTCTTTCAGTTGAAACAGGTTTTCCTTTCACCGGCAGCTGTATTAAATCTAACCTACATATAATATCATTGCAGTCTTGAAAGTTTTGATATTCCAATTTTTCATGATGGGGTTTCAAAAATTCCAGATGCTATGGGGAATGGGTAGAATAGAAAAGAACACGATGTGAATATTAACACGTCGAATTGGAAGATTCCGGACTGTACATGATGCAGTTAGAATACCGCAGATGTTTTGCATCCATTTCCTTTCGCTTTCCATTACCTCAGCATTTAGGCATTTAGTTCCGTTCATGTTCCTTCCGTGCTGCATCCGTTTCCTTTCGTTTTCTTTTCAGTTTGCATCCATGTCCTTTCATGGCCCTCCATTTAGTTGTCTTGACGTTTTGCATCCACTTCCTTTCATGTTACCCCTCACTTTGCACCCATTCATGTCCTTTCATATTGCATCTTAATCTCATGTCATGTGCCATTCATGTCCTGTCATGTTTTTTTGAAAAATTGCATCAATTTCCTTTCATGTCCTTTTCATCTTGCATTCATTTTCCACAGCCCAACCCTTTGTTGGTAACATTCTCCATGCATTCTAAGAGCAGGCCGGGCCTTTAGATAGAATATTGCGCAGATGCTGCACCCGCCATCGTAAATCCGATTTGTACGAAATCTGGACTTAACAAAACCGTTCCAAGTGCTGGCCTGAAACTCTACAGCGCCAAATATGTTCAAAAGAAAAACGTTTTTGCTCACAGACCTGGCCATGACGCAACTCAAAAAATTGATATCTTCGCAGACCTGGGCATGCGAAAAAAATATCCATTGATCTGACATGATGGTGTTTCCTTCCCAATTCTTTAGCAAAGAGAAACATGGATCACATGTGGTTGCCCGCGTCTTTCCTTGTCTAACTTCTTTTCTTTTTCGCCAAGCTCATTCTTGAGTAGCCCCAAACCTAACCTTGATGCCGACATTGCATGACTTGAGTAGCCACATCCTGGTCAAAAGTTCTTTTTCCTTAGTAGCCAGCTACTCACCAAGACAACTTTTTTCCTCAGCAGCAAGCCACTGACCAAAATCCAATTTTCTTCAGCAGCCAGCTACTGACCAAACCTCCTTTTTCCTCAGTAGCCAGCTACTGACCAAATCCATGGCTCCGCAGTAGCCAGCTACTGACCAAAACTTTTTTTTCCTGAGTAGCCGGCTACTGACCAAAAACATGTTTTTTCCTCAGTAGCCAGCCCCTGATCAATTTTTTTTCCTCAACTACCGGCTTTTGAGCAAAATCCATTTTT